GTGAGTGGAAAGTTGTGCATCAGTGGCGGAAACTGGACTAGCCAAGGGCCAACCTTGGCAGCTGGCTTTTCCAAGGGTGGCGGTCTCAGGCCTATGTGAACTCTTCCTACACACTGCGCTTTGTGGTTTATCCTAGGAGGTTCCACATGAAATAAATGAACTTTTGCTTTGTTTTCTGTTACTACAAAAGAAAAACCATTTGTACTTAGTGTTGGCGGATATGAACAATGGAAAAAGAACTTGTAAAATGCCCTAGTAACAGTGAAGAGAACATGAGGAGTAGCATACATTGTCATTGATGAGCTGTTTTTGAGAACCATGGAAAGTAATAGAAAAATGAGCACTTATCAAGAACTGCTTTTTCTAAATGTTTCTTTGTCCTGTGATAGATACTGTCTAAAGTGGGCTAAGGTTTTTCATGCACACAAAATAAATGATGCTCCTATCACAAATTATTTTGTGGTTCATGTAATTCACGGGAGGTGTTCCTGTTTCACTTACTGGAGATTGCTTCTAGGGACCAGGCAGTAGAGTGGGAGTTGAGGCTATTTCAACACTTGCTGTAATGGCTGCTTCAGCTCTTGACCTGTGCGCTCCTCCCCACCATCCCAACAAATTGCTGAGAAATCATCCTCTGAACTTAGAGGACTGTTTATTTTCTCTGATGCACTGCAGGCAGTGAGGTATATCTGGGTCTCTATGAGATTATGGCTTTATTTTTTATTTTATTATTTTTTTTAAATTTGTTATAGGGCACGTGTGGTCACTGGAGAGAAAGAGAAAAAGTGAGACAGTACCCTTCAGAGGTGGCCACGCTGCATTCCTCTCCCCTCCATTCTCCTTTCAGGATTTTGAGTATTACACACTCAGTGTGTGTGGGTTGTTTTTTTTTTTTTTTTTTTTTTTTGCTATAGGGCACATGCGCTCGCCAGACAGAGAGAGACAGAGGGATAGAAAGTGAGAAGTCACCCCCCAGGGATGATGGCCAAGCCACAATCCCTTCTCCTCCATTCTCCTCTCGGGATCTTGGGCACGCACACACACGCACCCGGCGTGAGTTTAAGCCACCGGGTCCAGGACGTGAACCGCGGTCGACTACGTGGGAGTCCAGCGACACAGCCATTACGCTAACTGCTGGTCCCCTTGCACAATTTTTTCATAAGACTTATTTTCCATGAACTTCTTAAAGACCCTTTCTTTATGGGTATAGAATATTTTAACCTCAATTTAATTTTCAATTGGCGAACTTTTAGGCATTGTAATCCAGTGAACTGAAAACATTCATACAGGACATAGGATGCTGTCCAGGCTGAGTGTGTTCGAACGAGCTAATCATGCTTTAAAGTCCATCTCCAAATCTGTTTTTTCATGTTTTTCCCATTTCTTGTTTGTCCTTTCTTCTTTTGAGTTTACATATTCTCTGAAAGGTCTTGTTTTTCCTCATGACTTCATGACTTCCATGGCAGTAATAAGGGAGGCTGGAGGCTTCCAGACAATAGCAAGGTGAATAAATACATAAATATACTCAAGCACACAAACGCACGTGCACATGCGCACATGCATACACACACACACAAATATAGATACACACATTAACACAAAGGGTGGTTATTTGTTTTTAAGAATTATTTTTCTATTTTAATTTTATTTATTTATTTGAATTTGACAAGAGTGACAGAGCAAGAGAGAGAGGGCAAATGAGAAAGCAATCTGCCAAATTCAGGACTCGAACTGCAGTCGGCCATGTGGGAGTCCAGTGCTCCTAACCACTATGCCACCTGCCGGCTCAGGCTGGTTATTTCTAAGCCAAGGACTGCCTGTAGTAAGAAAATCACGTGCTTTTCCGTTTTTTCATGTTTTCGGAGTACATCTTTGCAGAGTATCAGTGTGACACACTCCTGGTCGTTGCATGCTATGTCTGCCAGCCTGCCATTATCATTTAACTGGAATCTTGTAACCATGTGATGTTGAACTTTTGCTTTGGTATATATTAAGAAAAGTGTTCATTTTGTTTGCATTGTTCCACTTTAGCGTTTGCCGCACTAAATACTATTTCCGTATATTGCCATTATGTACCCTTCATTCTTGTGTAAGCTAGACTGAGAATTGTTTCTGGAATTTGATAATTTGATGGTCCTTTCTTACTAATAGGCAATACAGTACACTGTGAAATGGTGTTATTGAAAAGACATCTGTGGGACCAGCAGGTGGTGTGGTGGTTGAGGTGCTGGATCCTACATGGCCAACTCTGTGGTTCAAGTCCTGGACCCGGTGGCTTTAAAAATACCCTGGACATGTTTCTGTATGCTCTCAAAAATCTCTAGAGAAGAATGGAGGAGATGGAACTGTGGCATGGCCATCCTCCCTCGGGGGTGATTTTCTCACTTTCCCTCTTTCTCTGTCTCTCTCATCCTCTGATAGAAATCCAAAAAAAAAAAAAAAAGAAGAAGAAAAGACAGCTGTGACATCAGATATATTATTATGGTTTTAGAGTTGCTAAGCACATCAGTGGCAGAGCCACTGGTTAACCACAGGGGCGTAAGAAACCACAATGCTTGTACAGGCTCGGCTTTGTCAAGATATACCATCAGCTTCCAGATTGACTTGTTAGATCCTTTCAAAATGGCTTTATACCTCTTGGTCAGTCAACGTATCATTTTACTGCCTTTGTAATTAATTTAATGACAACTTTTAATTATTCAGTGTTATATTGCCATTTCCTACAGAAAAACTTTTTATTTATTTGCCTTAGGGAAATTTTTGAAAGGCAAGAAAATACTTATACAGGAGATTGTTCTCTTTTTGATTACTTCTTTACATTTTGTCCATTTTAACAGGCATGATAAAACGGAATTGGGAATATATATGTAATCACAATAAAGAAAAAACAAAGACCCTCGGAGACAATAGCATTGACACCACATGTGAAGACAGTGAGAACAAGTTTGACTTTTCAGTGATGTCCTATAATATACTTTCACAAGATTTATTGGAAGATAATTCACACCTTTATAGACACTGTCGACGGCCAGTATTACACTGGAGTTTCAGGTTTCCTAACATTCTGAAAGAAATTAAACACTTTGATGCAGATGTAAGTACAAATTATTATCAAAATTCTTTCCACAAAAAAAAGTTGGCTTGAAATGTTTTACTTGTGCATTTGTGAACTAAATGGCTTTATCCATTTCGTTGGGATATAAGAAGGAAAGATATTTAAGCACTGGGATGAAACAATCTTTAACAAACTATAGTGACTCCCAAAGAGTCATTTGTTAATGGTTGTTGTAAAAATCCTTTCAAGAAGGATCCCAAAAGTTTTAAATGTTGGTCAGTTTTTAGACAGTGTCTGGCAACGTATCACGTATTCAGTAAGTACTTCCTTTGGTTTGAAATTGCAGTCTTTCATGCAAAAATTTTATCTAGATGGTACCATTCAAAAAAATCCATCTTGGGCCAGCAGGTGGTATGGTGGTTAAGGAGCTGGATCACACAAAACCGATGCTGCAGTTTGAGTCTTGGACCGGCAGCTTGAAAAACACACCAGGCACGAGTGCGGGCATGCTCAACATCCCTAGAGGAGAATGGAATAGAAGGGATTGCTTTGTGCCATTCCCCCAGGGCATGATTTCTTATGTTTCCTCTCTCTCTAATCTCTGATAAACATATTCACCCTATGGCAAAAATCTTGTGTTTTTGTTTGAGAGTTTTTTGCTATAGGGCACATGTGCTCGCCAGACAGACAGAGAGAGACAGAAAGACAGAAAGCGAGAAATCACCCCCCCAGGGGGGATGGTCACGCTGCAGTCCCTTCTCCTCCGTTCTCCTCTCGGGATCTTGGGTAGGCACGCACACGCGCCCAGGACAAGTTTTAAGCCACCGGGTCCAAGACTCAAACCGTGGTCCCAATTATTGAAGTTGTTGGCCCCGCAAAAAATTTTAAAAAAAAAAAAAAAAAAAAAGAAGGAAAGAAATCAACCTCTTAAAAAAAAAAAAAACCACACATACAAAACTAATACTAGTAAACAGGTAAATTCAGGAAAAATATTTTGATAGATAAATTATTGCCAGTAGGTGTGTGTGCTTGCCAGAGAGAGTAACCCCATAAGAGCACCTATCCCCCCACCTCCATATTCTTTTTTCCTCCATTTCTCCATCAGGTCAGGATTTGGGGCAGTATACATGCACTCTTAGCATGTATCTCAAGCCTCCAGGATCAAAATTTGAATTGCTATAGGCTATGTGTATCTGACTCCCTATGTATAGAGTGTAACCAATTGTGCTATGGGGGATGGACCCAAGAAATGGTGATTTTGGATAGTAAGAAAACTATATGATTAAAGGCCAGGTTTTGAGATTAATTGAACTTGAAAACATTTATTTGGTAGATCTATAAACAACGAGAAAAAAGGATTATAAATCTTATTTCAACTCATTAAAGTTAGGCTTGTAGAAGCCTATTTTTAAAGTTGATATTTATATGTTTGCTTCTCTTTATTTTAATTCAAGCCACTTTTTTCTTCCAAGGTACTTTGTTTACAAGAAGTTCAAGAAGATCATTATGGAACAGAGATAAGGCCAAGTTTGGAATCGTTGGGTACAATATAACTTTTATTTTAGCTATATTTGCTTTTGAAGATAAGTGTGTTACTAAAGCATAACTTGCTAACAAAGTTGTGTGGTGTGATTGGGCTAAAAAAATCTTAATTTTGAAAACCTAATACCTCTAAAAGTTAAGAAAAGGTAGAGGTATTTCATTTTGGAAGTAGGAAGTTTTATGTTGATATAAGTTTAATTCAAATGAAAAAATGTATAAGAATCTTTTTTTTGCTTTGGGCATGTGCGTTCATCAGATAAGAGACAAAGAAAGGGAGAATGTAAGTGAGAATCATCCCTGGACGTTGGCCATGCTGTGACACTTCTCCTCCATTGTCCTCTTGGGATTTTTGGTCATGCATGTGTGTGCATCTGGTATAATTTTCAAGCTGCTGGGTCCAGGATTTGAACTGCATGCAGCCAGCAATGTGAGAGTCCAGCACCTTTAACCACCATGCCACCTGCTGCCCCTGTAAATCTTTTTTTTTTTTTTTGGAGAGGTTTTCGCTATAGGGTGTGTGCGCTCACCAGACAGACAGAGACATAGAGACAGAAAGCGAGAAATCACCCCCCAGGGGGGATGGTCACGCCGCAATCCCTTCTCCTCCATTCTCCTCTCGGGATCTTGGGCACGCACGCACACACGCCCGGCGTGAGATTTAAGCCGCCGGATCCGAGATTCGAACCGCGGTCAACTACGTGGGAGTCCAGCGACATAGCCATTATACTAACTGCTGGTTCCCTGCCCCTGTAAATCTTTTAATCGCTTCCTGGGACCAGCAGTTAGCGTAATGGCTATGTCGTTGGACTCCCACGTAGTTGACCGTGGTTCACGTCCCGGACCCGGTGGCTTAAAACTCATGCCGGGCGCGTGTGCGCGCGTGCCCAGGATCCTGAGAGGAGAATGGAGGAGAAGGGATTGTGGCGTGACCATCCCCCCTGGGGGGGGGCGATTTCTCGCTTTCTGTCTCTCTGTCTCTGTCTGTCTGGCGAGTGCATGCGCCCTATAGGAAAAACCTCTCAAATAAAAAAAGAGTTAAAAAAAAAAATCTTTTAATTGCTTCCTTTCCCAAGAATTGCTCTGCCCACCACTTAACCTCTAATATTCTGAGTTGCGTGAGATATGGACCATTCTATCTAGTTCATCCTTGTAATTCCAGTGTCTACTAATACCTAATGAATGGAAACTAGAAATCTTTAGAACCAAGTCATCTGTGCTCATATAAATTTGAGAAATGTGCCCACTTTCCATTTATTCAGGAAAAATATTTTGAGCATCTACTCTACCATACGCTGTTCTGGGCAGCAGGGATACCGCATTGGCTGAAACAGATAAAAAAGTCTCCCTGTGTAGTCCACATTATAGTGGAGAAAAGTAATAAGTAACAGTAGCTTTCTGGAGAAAAGCAGGAAGCTTGAGGGTGGTGGTTTCAGTTTTAAACAAAGTAATTAGATAAGGTGACACTTGAGCAAGACCTAAAGGAGGTGAAGGAATAAGCCATGCCTAGAAATTTCCAGGTAGCAGAAAGAGCAAGGGAAAGACCCTGAGAGTGTGGTGTGTCAAGGGAAGTGAAGAGGCCAGTGTGGTAGAAATGGAGCAAGGGAGGAAGAGTTATAAACAAAAAGAGCAGAGGTGGGGTGGGAGAGTGACTGCATGTGTCATTATAAGGCCTTCCTGACGGCATGACTCTCGGTTTCACTAGGATGGAAATAGTGCACATCAGCGTATTAAGGACTTAAGTCTGCCCGTAGAGACATAGTAGACCCACTCCCAAACTTATTCGCTTCCAGTATTTATTAACATATTACATTACTACTGTTTCGTAAGATATATTCTGGTAAACATTGCTCAAAAATACTAGGAGAGCTATTCTTTTGATAAATATATGAAGGAACTACAAAAAGTTTGTGGAAAAATGGAATTAAAGAAGTATTTTGGTGCACAAAAAAAACTTCTAAAATCCATGCAGTGTATTTTTAATAATATATATTTCCATGAATTAAAAAATACATATTTTCTTTATTCATGATAGAATGTGTGTGTGGACACTTGATAGAGAGAGACAAAGAGACATAAGTATCCTCTACAGTCTGTCATGCCACAGTCCCTCTTCTCTAGTCCTCCAGTGCATAGGATCCTGGGCATTCATGCATGTGCCCAGCATGTTTCAGGATAACCAGGCCAGGGATTCGAACCACAGTCGCCGTGTAGGCTCCAGTGTAAGACCCTTTGTATATATTATAGAAAAACATTCCTTTGTTTTAAATTCATTTCTTTTTTGTAGGTTATCACTGTGAATATAAAATGCGGACAGGAAGGAAACCCGATGGCTGTGCCATTTGCTTCAAACATTCCAAATTTTCACTCTTGTCAGTGAACCCAGTGGAATTCTACCGCCCTGATATCCCTCTGTTGGACAGAGACAATGTCGGATTAGTTTTACTCTTGCAGCCCAAAATCCCAAGTGCTGCCACCCCTGCGATCTGTGTAGCTAATACACATCTGTTGTACAATCCAAGGCGCGGTGATATTAAGCTGACCCAGTTGGCAATGCTCCTGGCAGAGATTTCCAGTGTTGCCCATCAGAAAGATGGCAGTTTCTGTCCTATTGTTATGTGTGGTGACTTTAATTCTGTTCCTGGCTCTCCACTCTATAGTTTCATAAAGGAAGGAAAATTGAATTATGAAGGACTTGCTATAGGAAAGGTAAGTACTCATTTCATTGTACCTAGGAGGTGGGCTTAGTCAGTTGCTCTGCTCATTGTAACAGGAGGGTAGTCATCACCCAGCTGTTTGAGACCTTGGCTGATTCAGTGCCCTCACTTTACCAAGCTGTGATCGCCACCACTCATGAGTATTACACTTGGTTAAATGTCATCTTTTCCATCTATCTGGCAACATACTGCTTCAAGGAATTATTAGCAAGCTGCAGAAAAACCAAATGGGGGAGAAGAAGAAAAATAATAGCTCTGATAAACATGGGTACTTCCCAGCTAAGGAACTACTCACTAGTTGGCAGGACAAAATTTTTAGTGATGGATTTGGACAGTACAGTTGGCAAACCATTCATATTTATATATTGTTTTCCTTTACATAGTGATATTTTAATTCTTTAGCTTAGTATATAATCTATCCTATGTTATTATTTTTATTCTGTTTACCTTTCCTTATTTTAGGTCACTTATCTTTGGTATATTTACCCAAAATTAATTCTCCAGCACTGGAGTTTTGAGTGATAGTTCAAAGAGTTGGTCTGTCTTTGTGTTTGACATAGTAGGAAACTACATTGCAAGCAGCAACAAGGAGAGGTAGTATTTGTCCAAAGTGGTTGGTCACTTGGATATCCAAATTAGAGAAAAACATGGACAGGAAAAGATTGTTATGTTTGTATAAGTGCTTTGTGCACAGTATTTGAAGAAGATTTTATAAGCAGAAATAATCACTCAATATAATGAATAAAGGGTCATAATCAGCATTCTTGGATTACCTTTTATTTAAGACATAAACTTTACTATTTAAAATCTATTCACTTAAGATACCTGTTGAAATTTTGTTTAGGTATCTGGCCAGGAACAGTCTTCACGGGGACAGAGAATTTTATCTATTCCAATTTGGCCCCCAGACCTAGGTATCTCACAGAACTGTGTGTATGAGGTACAGCAGGTGCCAAGAGTAGGAAAGACAGGTAAGTGCTCACGATGCGTTTTGGCAGTCTGCTGGGTGACAGTGCTCCCTTCGAAGACATAAAACTAGAATTTCTAAGGGATAACAATCTCAGGGGTGAATATTCATATATAAAAGTATATAGTTACTTGCTGCTCTATTTTTAATAGCTTTAAATGTACCTTTTTAAAGTTGAAATTCCAAAATTGTCTGCATGAATTACATGCATGTTGCTTTGGAATTATTCACATTTTTTCTAATTCTGGAGACCATCAGAACATAGATTCCAGAATGAAATGTTTAAAGAGGGCTTTATCTAAACTAAATACAGCTTTTTAAAAATTTTATTCATTCATTCATTTATTTTAATTTAACCAGATAGAGACAGAGAGAGGGAGGAAGCAAGAAAGCAAGCCACCAAATTCAGGACTCGAACCATGGTCAGTTAAGTGGAAGTGTCCAGTGCTTTAACCACCACACCACCTGCTGGTCCCCAACTAAATATATCTTAAATATTGTAGAGGAAGAGGACTATATTAAGCCAAACTAGAACAAAGCGACGTGTTACTATGGTATTAATATATTTCTCTTTGTTCTTACAGATAGCGATCTGACACAAACACAGCTGGAGAAAACAGAGGTCCTAGTAACAACCGAAAAGTGAGTTCTGAAAAGCAGCAGTAGATAGCTGCAGGCTTTAGTTGAGGAAAAAAAAATCACAAATCAAAAATCACTTAGATAGAAAATGAAGGTAATGAGATTTGATGCTGGTGAAGAGTGCTTGGCTCTTAAGTCACATGGACCTGAATTCCAGTCTTGACTCTGCTACTTTTTAGCTGTGGGATTTTGAGTAAGAAACATAACATCTTTGAGGTTTAGTTTCCTAGTCTGTAATATAAGTTGTTAAGACTAATTTATAAAGCATACTAAGCACAATGTCAGATTTATAGTAAGTGCTTGGGCAGAGTTATGAAAGGAGAGGTGTTGTCCGCGCACATGGTCCCAGCTCAAATACTCTGAAATTTATTGTCATTACATATTTAAAGAAAGGGCAAAAACATCTTTCAGATTTCAAGAGAGTTCTCAGTCTTGTCTAACTACTAAGTCTCTGGATAATCTATAGAAGAATTGATCCAAAAAATAGGCTGGTTCAGCTGGTGGCATGATGGTTAAGGTATCCTAAGGTTATGGATCCTACCTAGCCGACTACACTGGTTTGAATCCCAGTGGCTTGAACATGCTAGGTACATGCATGCCCAAAATCTTGGAGGAGAAATGGAAAAGGGGATTGCAGCATGCCCATCCCCCCTGCAGTGTGCTTTCTCACGCCCCCCACCCCATCTCTCTCTGGAGCTCACACACCTTTTAACAACAAAAAAAATGCCAGTAGAAAAGATGCTCATTTTTCTTTATCTCTTGAACTGTAGTAAAAGGTCATCACAGGTAGAGGGGTGGAGATCTCAATTCCTCATTGAAGAAACATGAATGTTAGGGGCTATGGTTGAGAAATTGATATATGTTAATACAGCAGTACAGAGACTTAAATTAGGTATCTTTGGAGATCCTTGAAATATTTTTATTGTTTTGTATTATGGCTCTTTTGAAGTATTTTTTTAAAAAACATTTATTTATTGGGACCAGCAGATGGCGAAATGGTTGCATCACTGGATTCCCATGTAATTGACAATGGTTCAAGTCCCAGACCCAGTAGCTTAGAACTCATGCTGGGCACATGTGCATGTATGCCCAAAATCCCAAGAGGAGAATGGAGGAGAAAGGATTGCAGCATGGCCATCCCCCATGAGAAGTGATTTCTTGCATTCTGTCTCTGTCTCTCCAGCGAGTGCACATGCCCTAAGGCAAAAATCTCTCTCAAAAAAAAAAATTTTTTTTTACTTATTTTAACATCTATTTATCTTTTTATTCGTTGTGATTTTCAGACCACCAGGTCCAGGACTTGAACCACAGTCAGCCATGTGGAAGTCTAACACCTATCATGCCACCTGCTGGCTCCATGCAGTTTTTTGCTTTAACATTCATTCATTCGTTCATTCATTTATGTATTTGTTTATTTAGGTTTTTATTTCATGCAGTTTTTTGTTTTAACAGTTAGTTATTTAGGTTTTTGCCCTAGGGTACATGTACTCACCAGAGAGAGAAACAGGGAAAGAGAGTGAGAAATGACCCCCCAGGGTGATGGCTATACCACAATCCCTTCTCCTCCATTCTCCTGGGATTTAGGGCACATATGCATATATGCACATATGCCTAGTGTGATTTTGAAGCCACGAGGTCCAGGACTCAAGGAACCATGGTCAGCCCCATAGCCTAGTGGTTGAGGGAACCAGATCCCACATGGCTGACTGTAGTTCAAATCCTGTCCTTGGTGACTCAGAAAACATTCCAGTCACTTGTGTGTGTATGCCCAAAATCCCGATAGGATGGAAAAATAGAGAAAGGATTGCAGCATGACCATACCCCATCCAGGGATTCTTTCTCTCTCTTTTTTTGTCTGCCTCTGGCAAGCACACCTGCACTCTAACAACTAAAAAGAAAAACTAGGATCCAAGGTATAAACATTTCCCGTTCAGTTATCTGCTTTCTTCTCAATCTTATTTTGAAAAAATAATTTTCTTATAAATGAGAACCCAGTAAGAAAGAAAACAATTATTTTGAATTTTTAAAAATCAGTGTTTAAAAATTCATGATTAAATCTTTCAAATATAGTAAAAACTTCTCTGAATAAGAGTGATAAAGAAGGCCAATCCAAACTAACAAATGCTCGATTTTGAGTAGTTCTTAAATCTTTTACAAATAAAATGGAATATAAGAAAAGTTATTTTTGAATATCTTTATATTAATGCAGTGTGCTTATAACTTAAATCTATAAACCAAAAAATTTATAGTAAACAGTTTACAGGAGACCTATTTTACCTTTAGTAAAATTACAAGTCCTTAGACCCAAAAAGTTGCTGAAACTTGGAAGTTGAGGGCACTTTTAAAAAACACACACACACACACATACACACATGCCCAGAGTGTTTTTTGAGCCACCAGGTCTAGGATTTGAACCACACGGATGGCCCGTGGGATCTGACTTCCTTAACCACTAAAGTCACAGGGCCAGACCTTGATTTTTATTTCTTAAAAACAACAATAACACAAATACAAGGACACCCAATGGTGGTGCATCAGAAAAACATGATGCTCCGTGAGGCAATCCTTCATGGAAAGGTTCCCAGTTCAAGTCTGGAGACCTCCCTGAATACACTGGGCACACACATGCTGGCTGAAGGCTGGGGGGATCTTGGCCTTAGGACCCTATTGTGGGTGCTGTTTGGCTATCTTGCCCACTCATGGGAGAGATACATGAACTTTAAAAGTTGTGTACTATGGAACAGCAGGTGGCATGGTGGTTAAGGCACTAGACTCCCACATGGCTGACCATGGTTCAAGTCCCAGACCGGGCAGCTTTCCTTTCTCACTTTCTCTTTCTTTCTCTCTGGTCAAATTTTTAAAAATAAATAAGTTGGGGGCCAGCAGTTGGCGAAATGGCTATGTTGCTGGACTCCCGTGTAGTCGACTGTGGTTCGGTCCCAGACCCAGTGGCTTAAACTCACGCCGGGCACGTGTGTGCGTGTGGCCATCCCCCTTGGGGGGATGATTTCTCGCTGTCTCTCTCTCTCTCTCTGTCTTTCTGGCAAGTGTACACGTCCCATATCAAAAAAACCCACCAAACTCTCCAATAAATACATACATACATACATGCATACATATCAGCAGTTGGCTTACTAGCTATGTCACTGGACTCCCAAGTGGTTGACCACAGTTCGAGTCCTGGACCTGATGATTTAAACTCATGCTGGGCCCATGTGCATGCATGCCCAAGATCCCAAGAGGAGAATGGAGGAGAAGGGATTGTGGTGTGGCCATCCCCCCTGGGGGTGATTTCTCACTTTCTGTCTTCCTGTCTTTTTCTCTCTTTCCAGCAAGTGCACATGCCCTATAGCAAAAACCTCTCCAAAATAAATAAATAAGTAAATAAACAGAATAAACAATTCTTTAAAAAAATTGGATATCCAAATTAGAGAAAAACATGGACAGGAAAAGATTGTTATGTTTGTATAAGTGCTTTGTGCACAGTATTTGAAGAAGATTTTATAAGCAGAAATAATCACTCAATATAATGAATAAAGGGTCATAATCAGCATTCTTGGATTACCTTTTATTTAAGACATAAACTTTACTATTTAAAATCTATTCACTTAAGATACCTGTTGAAATTTTGTTTAGGTATCTGGCCAGGAACAGTCTTCACGGGGACAGAGAATTTTATCTATTCCAATTTGGCCCCCAGACCTAGGTATCTCACAGAACTGTGTGTATGAGGTACAGCAGGTGCCAAGAGTAGGAAAGACAGGTAAGTGCTCACGATGCGTTTTGGCAGTCTGCTGGGTGACAGTGCTCCCTTCGAAGACATAAAACTAGAATTTCTAAGGGATAACAATCTCAGGGGTGAATATTCATATATAAAAGTATATAGTTACTTGCTGCTCTATTTTTAATAGCTTTAAATGTACCTTTTTAAAGTTGAAATTCCAAAATTGTCTGCATGAATTACATGCATGTTGCTTTGGAATTATTCACATTTTTTCTAATTCTGGAGACCATCAGAACATAGATTCCAGAATGAAATGTTTAAAGAGGGCTTTATCTAAACTAAATACAGCTTTTTAAAAATTTTATTCATTCATTCATTTATTTTAATTTAACCAGATAGAGACAGAGAGAGGGAGGAAGCAAGAAAGCAAGCCACCAAATTCAGGACTCGAACCATGGTCAGTTAAGTGGAAGTGTCCAGTGCTTTAACCACCACACCACCTGCTGGTCCCCAACTAAATATATCTTAAATATTGTAGAGGAAGAGGACTATATTAAGCCAAACTAGAACAAAGCGACGTGTTACTATGGTATTAATATATTTCTCTTTGTTCTTACAGATAGCGATCTGACACAAACACAGCTGGAGAAAACAGAGGTCCTAGTAACAACCGAAAAGTGAGTTCTGAAAAGCAGCAGTAGATAGCTGCAGGCTTTAGTTGAGGAAAAAAAAATCACAAATCAAAAATCACTTAGATAGAAAATGAAGGTAATGAGATTTGATGCTGGTGAAGAGTGCTTGGCTCTTAAGTCACATGGACCTGAATTCCAGTCTTGACTCTGCTACTTTTTAGCTGTGGGATTTTGAGTAAGAAACATAACATCTTTGAGGTTTAGTTTCCTAGTCTGTAATATAAGTTGTTAAGACTAATTTATAAAGCATACTAAGCACAATGTCAGATTTATAGTAAGTGCTTGGGCAGAGTTATGAAAGGAGAGGTGTTGTCCGCGCACATGGTCCCAGCTCAAATACTCTGAAATTTATTGTCATTACATATTTAAAGAAAGGGCAAAAACATCTTTCAGATTTCAAGAGAGTTCTCAGTCTTGTCTAACTACTAAGTCTCTGGATAATCTATAGAAGAATTGATCCAAAAAATAGGCTGGTTCAGCTGGTGGCATGATGGTTAAGGTATCCTAAGGTTATGGATCCTACCTAGCCGACTACACTGGTTTGAATCCCAGTGGCTTTAACATGCTAGGTACATGCATGCCCCAAATCTTTGAGGAGAAATGGAAAAGGGGATTGCAGCATGCCCATCCCCCCTGCAGTGTGCTTTCTCACGCCCCCCACCCCATCTCTCTCTGGAGCTCACACACCTTTTAACAACAAAAAAAATGCCAGTAGAAAAGATGCTCATTTTTCTTTATCTCTTGAACTGTAGTAAAAGGTCATCACAGGTAGAGGGGTGGAGATCTCAATTCCTCATTGAAGAAACATGAATGTTAGGGGCTATGGTTGAGAAATTGATATATGTTAATACAGCAGTACAGAGACTTAAATTAGGTATCTTTGGAGATCCTTGAAATATTTTTATTGTTTTGTATTATGGCTCTTTTGAAGTATTTTTTTAAAAAACATTTATTTATTGGGACCAGCAGATGGCGAAATGGTTGCATCACTGGATTCCCATGTAATTGACAATGGTTCAAGTCCCAGACCCAGTAGCTTAGAACTCATGCTGGGCACATGTGCATGTATGCCCAAAATCCCAAGAGGAGAATGGAGGAGAAAGGATTGCAGCATGGCCATCCCCCATGAGAAGTGATTTCTTGCATTCTGTCTCTGTCTCTCCAGCGAGTGCACATGCCCTAAGGCAAAAATCTCTCTCAAAAAAAAAAATTTTTTTTTACTTATTTTAACATCTATTTATCTTTTTATTCGTTGTGATTTTCAGACCACCAGGTCCAGGACTTGAACCACAGTCAGCCATGTGGAAGTCTAACACCTATCATGCCACCTGCTGGCTCCATGCAGTTTTTTGCTTTAACATTCATTCATTCGTTCATTCATTTATGTATTTGTTTATTTAGGTTTTTATTTCATGCAGTTTTTTGTTTTAACAGTTAGTTATTTAGGTTTTTGCCCTAGGGTACATGTACTCACCAGAGAGAGAAACAGGGAAAGAGAGTGAGAAATGACCCCCCAGGGTGATGGCTATACCACAATCCCTTCTCCTCCATTCTCCTGGGATTTAGGGCACATATGCATATATGCACATATGCCTAGTGTGATTTTGAAGCCACGAGGTCCAGGACTCAAGGAACCATGGTCAGCCCCATAGCCTAGTGGTTGAGGGAACCAGATCCCACATGGCTGACTGTAGTTCAAATCCTGTCCTTGGTGACTCAGAAAACATTCCAGTCACTTGTGTGTGTATGCCCAAAATCCCGATAGGATGGAAAAATAGAGAAAGGATTGCAGCATGACCATACCCCATCCAGGGATTCTTTCTCTCTCTTTTTTTGTCTGCCTCTGGCAAGCACACCTGCACTCTAACAACTAAAAAGAAAAACTAGGATCCAAGGTATAAACATTTCCCGTTCAGTTATCTGCTTTCTTCTCAATCTTATTTTGAAAAAATAATTTTCTTATAAATGAGAACCCAGTAAGAAAGAAAACAATTATTTTGAATTTTTAAAAATCAGTGTTTAAAAATTCATGATTAAATCTTTCAAATATAGTAAAAACTTCTCTGAATAAGAGTGATAAAGAAGGCCAATCCAAACTAACAAATGCTCGATTTTGAGTAGTTCTTAAATCTTTTACAAATAAAATGGAATATAAGAAAAGTTATTTTTGAATATCTTTATATTAATGCAGTGTGCTTATAACTTAAATCTATAAACCAAAAAATTTATAGTAAACAGTTTACAGGAGACCTATTTTACCTTTAGTAAAATTACAAGTCCTTAGACCCAAAAAGTTGCTGAAACTTGGAAGTTGAGGGCACTTTTAAAAAACACACACACACACACATACACACATGCCCAGAGTGTTTTTTGAGCCACCAGGTCTAGGATTTGAACCACACGGATGGCCCGTGGGATCTGACTTCCTTAACCACTAAAGTCACAGGGCCAGACCTTGATTTTTATTTCTTAAAAACAACAATAACACAAATACAAGGACACCCAATGGTGGTGCATCAGAAAAACATGATGCTCCGTGAGGCAATCCTTCATGGAAAGGTTCCCAGTTCAAGTCTGGAGACCTCCCTGAATACACTGGGCACACACATGCTGGCTGAAGGCTGGGGGGATCTTGGCCTTAGGACCCTATTGTGGGTGCTGTTTGGCTATCTTGCCCACTCATGGGAGAGATACATGAACTTTAAAAGTTGTGTACTATGGAACAGCAGGTGGCATGGTGGTTAAGGCACTAGACTCCCACATGGCTGACCATGGTTCAAGTCCCAGACCGGGCAGCTTTCCTTTCTCACTTTCTCTTTCTTTCTCTCTGGTCAAATTTTTAAAAATAAATAAGTTGGGGGCCAGCAGTTGGCGAAATGGCTATGTTGCTGGACTCCCGTGTAGTCGACTGTGGTTCGGTCCCAGACCCAGTGGCTTAAACTCACGCCGGGCACGTGTGTGCGTGTGGCCATCCCCCTTGGGGGGATGATTTCTCGCTGTCTCTCTCTCTCTCTCTGTCTTTCTGGCAAGTGTACACGTCCCATATCAAAAAAACCCACCAAACTCTCCAATAAATACATACATACATACATGCATACATATCAGCAGTTGGCTTACTAGCTATGTCACTGGACTCCCAAGTGGTTGACCACAGTTCGAGTCCTGGACCTGATGATTTAAACTCATGCTGGGCCCATGTGCATGCATGCCCAAGATCCCAAGAGGAGAATGGAGGAGAAGGGATTGTGGTGTGGCCATCCCCCCTGGGGGTGATTTCTCACTTTCTGTCTTGCTGTCTTTTTTCCTGTCTTTTTCTCTCTTTCCAGCAAGTGCACATGCCCTATAGCAAAAACCTCTCCAAAATAAATAAATAAGTAAATAAACAGAATAAACAATTCTTTAAAAAAATGTTATGCACTATAATCTTAAAAAAAAAAAACTTTGTAAGTTGTTTGAGAATACATGTTCATTAATAAGTAGATGTTTTCCAACATCTTATAAATAAAATCACATTAGTATGTTAAATATTGCACTTTTTAAATCTCGTATGTCATAGCCTCATTAATCAATTTTGGATATCAGTGTATGAATAAACGAATGCTGAATTATGATATGACCTATTTAAATAAAATTTTTGTGAATCTTTTGTACTCAATCTAGAAATTAAATAATAAAGTACTTTATTTTCTTTTAAATAATTAGTTTATTTAACTTTATTTATTCATTTTAATTTGACCAGAGGAACAGAGAGAGAGAGAAAGTGGGAAAGTAAGCCATCAGGTTCAGGACTTGAACCACAGTCAGCCATGTGGGAGTCCAGCACCCTTAAGCACCATGTCACCTGCCAGCCCCAGATAAAGTACTTTAAATAGGGGGAAATATAGAGATCATGAAACATGATTGATGCTAAACACTTTTCTTTTCAATTTAGATTATCTTCAAATTTACAGCACCATTTCAGCTTGTCGTCTGTTTATTCACATTACTTTCCTGACACTGGAATTCCAGAAGTGACCACCTGTCATTCCCGAAGTGCCATAACTGTGGATTATATTTTCTACTCCGCAGAAAAAGAAGATATTTCTGGGTCTCCAGGTAAGAATGAATGTAATCTTAAATTCTGTTCAGGAACATGTTTGTGAAAACCTCAAGGTTGAAGTTTGAGAAAATTAGATAACATCTTGATGTTTTAGATTTAGAATTTTTAAATATTTTTAATAGATTGGTAGTGTATTTGAATAAATCATTTAATTACCTGTAGATTATGAGGGAAGCATTGAAAGAGCCCAAAGCAAATTATTGCCTAAGATGGATATCCTCAGTTCTACCTTCCAGTTCCAGTCAGGTTCTGAATAAGGTCTTTCATAAGTGCTGTTTTTTCCTGTGATAGCAACTGAATATTTTTAATGGCCATCATATGGTTTTTTGCTTAAATTCTACCAAGGCCTGCTGCCTTCACGGACCACACTCATGCTGCCAACGTCATGTTTACTCTGGAAGGTTGGATCTTTCTGGAAAAGAAAAGTCTATAATATGACTACGTGTTTTAAAATGCAAAGGTGATAAAACACTTGTATGATTCATGAAAATCAGGTTTTTAAACATTAGCCAACGAATCTAAAGCGGAGAAGAAAATGCAATCGAAGATAACTAGAGGTCTGGGGCCAGCAGGTGGCACAGTGGTTAAGGGCACTGGACTCCCACATGGCCTGTCACTGTTCAAGTCCCAGACCTGGTGGTGATTTGCTTTCTCCTCTCTCTCTCGTTCTGTCCCTCTCTGGTAAAATTAAAATAAATAAATGGGAGTCCAGCACCCTTAAGCACCATGTCACCTGCCAGCCCCAGATAAAGTACTTTAAATAGGGGGAAATATAGAGATCATGAAACATGATTGATGCTAAACACTTTTCTTTTCAATTTAGATTATCTTCAAATTTACAGCACCATTTCAGCTTGTCGTCTGTTTATTCACATTACTTTCCTGACACTGGAATTCCAGAAGTGACCACCTGTCATTCCCGAAGTGCCATAACTGTGGATTATATTTTCTACTCCGCAGAAAAAGAAGATATTTCTGGGTCTCCAGGTAAGAATGAATGTAATCTTAAATTCTGTTCAGGAACATGTTTGTGAAAACCTCAAGGTTGAAGTTTGAGAAAATTAGATAACATCTTGATGTTTTAGATTTAGAATTTTTAAATATTTTTAATAGATTGGTAGTGTATTTGAATAAATCATTTAATTACCTGTAGATTATGAGGGAAGCATTGAAAGAGCCCAAAGCAAATTATTGCCTAAGATGGATATCCTCAGTTCTACCTTCCAGTTCCAGTCAGGTTCTGAATAAGGTCTTTCATAAGTGCTGTTTTTTCCTGTGATAGCAACTGAATATTTTTAATGGCCATCATATGGTTTTTTGCTTAAATTCTACCAAGGCCTGCTGCCTTCACGGACCACACTCATGCTGCCAACGTCATGTTTACTCTGGAAGGTTGGATCTTTCTGGAAAAGAAAAGTCTATAATATGACTACGTGTTTTAAAATGCAAAGGTGATAAAACACTTGTATGATTCATGAAAATCAGGTTTTTAAACATTAGCCAACGAATCTAAAGCGGAGAAGAAAATGCAATCGAAGATAACTAGAGGTCTGGGGCCAGCAGGTGGCACAGTGGTTAAGGGCACTGGACTCCCACATGGCCTGTCACTGTTCAAGTCCCAGACCTGGTGGTGATTTGCTTTCTCCTCTCTCTCTCGTTCTGTCCCTCTCTGGTAAAATTAAAATAAATAAATGAATGAATAAATAAAATTTAATTTAAAAAAAGATAACTAGAGGTCTGAAAATATTCCGAAAACTGGAAGGCAAAAATATGGACAGCTGTTTTTTCTTTTCCGATTTCCCTTGTTTTCTGTCTTTTTTTGGGCAGGAAGGGGGGAGGACTCCTTTGTTTTTCCTTTCCTTTTGGGGGTAAGCTTATTAGTAGTACTCAGGAGAAGGCTTACTCCTCCCACCAGATCAACTCTACAAAATATGCTTGCTGCTCTTAATTTGTACTGAGGCGCTCATAGTTGTTGTGGAGACAGATGTTCACTAGGGGGCAGCAGCGTCACAGCTCAATGTCTCAAATCTCAGCACTGAGCATTTCACTTTTTCTATGGGTACTGACATACTGGGAATAAATTACACCGTTTATTCTTCAGTCACCTTATAAATTTGGGTCTATCTGGTTTTAGGCAACTACAGAATGGTTGGTGGATGAATTTATATAGTTGTCAATCTCAAAATACTCGTAACATTTTTATGTATTACATTGGTATTTTCTTCTAAAGATTTGTAGAACTTGAAATAGGAAACGTATCTGAGATACCAAAAAAATAAATTGAAACTACTGCATCTTTGAGAATTACAGTTAAGTTATATGTAACTCAATAAACTTTAAAAATACCCTAAAAACTGTTCCATGTTAATCTTCTAGAGGTTTTTCGAGTTCTACATTGTTTAGAAAAAGATGGGTATGACTAATTTACAGTAACCTGTTGACACAGTTTCACTAAATATGTTTGTGCTTTAATGTAGGAGCTGAAGTTGCTTTGGTTGGTGGTTTGAAACTTCTAGCTAGACTGTCACTTCTTACAGAGCAAGACTTATGGACCGTTAATGGACTTCCAAACGAAAATAACTCTTCAGATCATCTGCCTCTATTGGCTAAGTTCAGACTCAAGCTCTGACACTTTTTCGATTACACACTTAATTTTCTTTATAATTTATATTCTTTTTTCAAAGAATGTAAAGTCATTCTGACGTGTTTGCATGATGTTTATTTTTGCGCTATGGAGTTTTTCAAGAGTTTATGTTAAATGCTTGAACCATATCAGAAGAAACAAGTTTACAGCAACTCTCTTTTGTTTTTCTTTGTTTTCTTCTTTAATAATGAAAACTATTTTCCTGACAGGTGAGATCTAAATACTCTTTATCATAAAAGAGATGTAAATTTTTTTCTTTTATAAATCTCAGTAAAATTGTCAATGATTTTTTTAAAATATATTGCATCGTCTTTAGTCCTCTCAGTAAAGAATTTCATTTTATGTTTCTGGCTTTACAATGAATCCCAAGTGTCTTTGAGTTCTTGCAAACCACAGCCTATTTCCTCTCCAGAAGGCCTGATTTTATTGGGTGAACCCTATGTTTATTTAGTTATCTCAGAAGTCATTGGCTTATACACATGTGTCCAACCAACCATTTTAGTTTGTTTGCAGAGGGGCTTGATAGTGATTTTTAAATCGTGTAAACAAGGCATAATCCATCTTATTTACTGGCCTGAGCCATGTAATACGCCACGTAATACGCCTGTCTTTTGTTGAGGAAATACAGGTCACCATAAGTGATAGGAGGAGGTGCTTTATAAGCCCACTCTTTTTTCTTTTTAGAAGTTTTTTAGTTTTTGTTTTTTTGCCTTAGGGCACATGCACTCCACTGTAGAGAGGGGGACAGAGTCAGTGAGAGGGAAAGGGAGAAATCGTCCCCTAGAGGGATGGCCTCACAGCAGTCCCTTCTCCTCCAGTCTCCTTCTGGGATCTTGGGCATGCATGTACATGTGCCAGTGTATTTCAAGCCACCAGGTCTGGGACTCAAACCACAGGTGGCCATGGAGGAGTCCGGTGGTAAAACTGCTACACCATCTGCTGGTCCTTAAGCCCACTCTTTTTATGCTGGAGTGGATGTAAGTGAGCCAAGGGAGAGTCTGGGGTTATGTCTTGGTTTTCATAGTTGGTTTTTTTTTTTTTTTTTTCTTTTTTAATTCAGTTTCAAAGAAGGATCCCTGGGTGGTAGACAGATTTTATTTTATTAAACCAATTCTGTAGACATTTATTTTATTAGGAAAATTGTCTTTGGAACAAAGTGGCAGCTATAACACTATTTTTGATAAGATTATTATGTTAATGTGAAAACTGGTGGGGAGATATCAACTTAGAGACCTAATCATTTTAACTGATGGTCTTAGTGGTTTTGTTTTAAAATGTTATTTTTTGTTTTCTTGTTTTGTTTTGTTTTCATTTACAGCCATGCACCAGCATGATATGGTGCTGGCACTTCTTATGAGGTGGCTATGAGCAGGTCTAATGGTTGCCATGGTCAACTTTATGTAAGTGTTGGAATCACAGATCTTAAAGCATAGGAAGTAGAAATTCCCCTTTTTAGACAGTAGAATCAAAGAATTATATGCATTTTTACTAAGTAGTAATTTTACACCAGGTTACAAACATTTTTATAGTCAGTTTTATTAATAGAATGTTTCATCTTAAATTGGAAAACAATAGTCTTGGACTTCAACAGTTTTTATACTAAAGCTATTTTTAAAAAAACCAGATGAAAGCCTCAAGGCCTACAGATGAGGATTTGCCTAGTAACAACTGTAATAAGTGGGAACTTTTAAATGCTTACATTCTCACTTTTTAAGGTTTTTACTTACAATATGGCTTCTAGTTCTAAGATTTTTCCACATTTTTTAGTAATAGTTGGCAGACCATTGATGATATGTCCAATTAACATAGTCATCATCAAATTACAATGGTACCATAACTATCCTTTTTTAGTATTGGGGAAAAAATAAAAATATATTGATTACTTTTTTGGGGATATGTGAATTTATTCACAAATAACTTATATATAGGTCATTTAACATCCCTCAAAACATCTGAAAATTTCTTTTTTTATATCCTGGTTAAAATATTGTGATTTTAGGCCCGTTTTATTTGCTTTACCTTGATAGTTAATCCATAAAATTCCTTTCTAACTTAGCTCATCGAATGAAATATTATGACCTGAAAGCCAAAGGGTTAACGTAACCTTCTTCAGATTTTTAATCTCCACTGAAAGTAATTATCCACTTGTATTTACTTTTTTTGACCAAAAGAATTGGTAATTCTGCTGGATGGAGCCTTGTATTTTCCTGCCAAAAACAACTAAGTCTTGCTGAAACCAAATTGCTCATAGTCTTGAGTGCTATACTATCCAAGTTTTAAATGAAACAGGAAGCTGTGGAGTAATGAAATTTTGATTTTACTATATCTTTTGATAGCAAGATAATATGTATGTTTGAAATTTGTGTGTGTGTGTGTGAATTTAGCAACTGCCTGCTTGTAATCCTTTGCTTTCCAAAAAAAAAAAAAAAGTTAGAGATCCAGAGGATTCACAAGGTTGGAGAAACAGGGCTGTCCAGTAATTTGCACTTTGTACCTGTATATTATGTAATAAATTATTATACCCATACAACTGTGCCTGTAGGTTTTGTGGTCTGTGCTGAGCTGTAAAATTTGGCCTATTGCCTCTTCTAAACTATTTCATCACCTTCTCCAGCCTTAATTATTTAGAGTGATGCTGAAAGATAAAAGCATCAAGATATGCTAAAATAGAATCACATTTTTAAGAAGGAATTATTTTATTTAATTTTATTCATTATTATTATTTTCTTTTATTTGGAGAGGTTTTCGCTATAGGGTGCATGCGCCTGCCAGGAAGACAGAGGGAGACAGAGACAGAAAGTGAGAAATCACCCCCAAAAGGGGATGGCCATGCCACAATCCCTTCTTCTCCATTCTCCTCTCAGGATCTTGGGCACACATGCACACGTGCCCGGCGAGAGTTTAAGCAACCAAGTCTAAGACTTGAACTGCCGTCAACTACGTGAGAGTCCAGCAACATAGCCATTATGCCAACTGCTGGTCCCCATTATTATTATTTTTAATTTGACCAGAGGGAGAAGGGGGCAGGGGGTGGGGAATGAGAAAGCAAGCCACCAGGTCCAGGACTCAAACCGTAGTGAGCCATGTGGGAGTCCAGTGCTTTAACTGCCATGCCACCTGATGGCCCTGAGAATCACATTTAATATAAAAGTTGAAAATTGTGAAAGAAGGCTGAGAGAATATGGGTGAGTTACCGAAACAAGTATAATAAGAGGAAGAGAGAAAACAATCACACCATCATATAGTTTTGAGGAAAAACAATCGTCCAGTTTCCAGGATGGTTTTATTAAAGTCCCATGCTGTGTATAAACATACAAGTGATGAGAAAAACATTAACTTGAAACATGCACTTATCCAGCATTCTCTAAAATACCATTATACAAGTTTTCAATTTACTTAGAAAAATACCCACTAAAACAATCACAGTTTTTCTTAAAGATTTAAAAAAAAGTATTGGCCAGAACAAAGTCCAAGAGAATAAACAAGATTTTTAATTGTATGTCAAAAAAACTGTACAAGGTTGTACATAAAACTATAGCTTACAAAAGCCTCAGGTATAGTAAGAATACTGAATTAAGATTTCCAAAGTTCTATTTACCAATATCTATTAATAAAATCCTTATGAAATAATTGACTTAGAAAAAGTGAAATGCTCATGACTTCAGAGTGTATAGAAAATACTAAATATCAGTTTCTGAAATAAAGTGTACTCAAAACAGCACAACATAGTCTAAAATCGAGATTTCTGTCATTCATTTAAACTTTGCATATATTGCCATGATGGCTTGAGCGTAAAGTTTCTTTTGCACTAATGACTTTTTAAAAACTACATTTCAAATCATTTTATAGTTTTATTTTTTATCTTTTGAATTATAGTTGGTTTAAAAGCCAATTCTGGGGGGGGATAAAACATCGAGTTTTTTTCTAGTCTCTAATTATTTTAATTTAATTACTGCACTAGAATTTAGGGAGTTTGGTGCCTTTCCCATGTTTAGAAATTACTTATTCCATAGGCAATAAAAATAGAATGACAAGAACATTTTAAATGTATCTTCATATTTCTGTGACTAACCCTTGCTTTGAGAAAATGAATCTACAAATCAAGGCGTGCATGTGGAAGAAATTAGGTTACTAATGAATCATCAAGCCAGTTGGCAGTTTTAAGGCTTCTACATCAGCATGTTAGAAACAGTTTTGTAGTCTTGTTTTTTCCCCTTTTATCTCTGGGAAACAAAAGGCTATGCAACTGCTTGACATCCTGTATGTTGGGTGGGACAGTACTTAATACGATTCCAAGCTCTTATAATAAAGTTTCAGATGGTTAAGTCAGTACCGTTTCAGAATGAGAATGAAATGATTCACTGACTCCTCTAAACATCTAAATACATTTGGCCATGAGGTTGCTGATGGGTTTGCTGTGTGAGGATCTATGAAGAGAATTCATTTGGAACTTAACTGATAATACCATTCTTGAAGAGAGCAATTAAGATCAGAATTTTTACCGTAGACTGCATTTTAATCTACTTGCAATGTACACAAACTTGGTCCTGTTCACCTAAAGGACATTAGACTTCCTTTTCCGAGCAGTGTTCTTCATTAATAATAATGATCTTTCGGGTACGAAGAGCTCGTGCGCATGGAGCTGAGAGATGAGTCCTTTTGTTTTCCGTGTTACCCCCACAGGGTTTAATTGGTAAAGAGTCCCAGTGAGCTGATTGATTTTTTTTTTTTTTTTAACTCCCTTCCTATAACCACCTTCAGTCCAAGAAAGCCGGAGGAAAGCATCGAGACTGGACTAACACTCGTCGGCAGGCAACCTTCACTTAAATATGCCTTTGGTCTCCTAAGTTGGCATGGCTACCAAGATAAGATGATAATAGCAGCTGTGCTCTTGACATGTATAACATGCACACTACGTTCGTGTTAGCGCTTCATGCCAAGTCACGTGGTTTGCAGCTGGATTTACTCTGCCACTTCCACGTGCTGGTCAGATACTCCTTTTGTGCTTTAAGGACTAAGTCATACTGTAAGGTGTAACACTGATCTGGAAGAATTCCATGGAGAAAAGGGAAGGTTCTTTCAAATTCATTGTATTTTCTAGTCCTAGTTCCTAAGTGTCATGAAACGGCACCTTAAAGCAAGATGCTGGCAAATAATCAGGTCGTGTCACATTGGCCTTAATATAAGACATTGGAATACATCTTTAACAACAGTGAGTCCTTCAGAATCAGAGCCTGACTCCGAGTTTCAAAATGAGATGAAACGGGAACAGAAAGGTTATCTGGTTCTCAAGACCTGCTGATTCATCCCTGGCGTCTCTGCCTTTCTGAGTGTGTATCTGCCAGAGGTAATCGCAGTTGTGCTCCGTCCCCGTAACAGTGCCTATGACCTCTTGTGCTTTTTGGTGGAGTCTGCAAAGTTTAAACAGTAGTGACAGAACACAGACTAGCTTCTGAGCCCGCTTTTTCTGTTCGGTGTTGAAAGAACGAAAACTGCTGTCAGCAAACGCTTTAAGAAAGGTGAAGAAGGAAGTGACTCCAAGATCCTGAACATGGTTTCCCGTATTGCCAGAATGTCGGTGCTTTTTAGTAAAACACTTGCATATAATATCTTAAATCTCATCACATGTGTACATCAGGAAAAAAGCTCCAATCTTATGGAGATCCCCAAGGGAAATACTGGGGAAACAATACAAATAGAATATTAAAAAAACAAAAACCACACCATTAAGTTTGCATATCTGATGTTGAAATGCTGAGGTAATATTAAATGCTTAAAAAAAGCCACCCATCTTTGCTTCTGTTATTGCTGAAGAAGACAGTAATACTGATTGAGTTACCTTACTATACCAAAAGTGGGAGAGAGGATTTCATGGACATTTACTAGTGATGAGGCATAATGTTCAAGTAGAAAACAGGTAGATGGAAAAGTAAAAAAAAAAAAAGAAAAACTAGTTATGGTAGTTATCCTTAAGATCTTGAGTGAGGGAGACAGTCCAACCCCAGTGGGGTTACTTTTTTTAGCTTATTCATGGTTGCCTTTTAGTGAATTTTTTTTTTTAAAGCTAATTGTCATCACCCACTCAGATTCTATTTCCAGGTGAACGCTTAAAAATAAAATTCTCTAAAGTTCTTAATAAATAGTTGCAGTTCCTCCTGAAGACGCTGGGTAAAGTGCAGAGAGAAGCACCACAGAAACCCTCTTGCTGGCCGGTATGGCTTGGCTAAATTCGGATTTGATAGCCCACTTCATTCAGAGTACTGAGATCAGCCACCTTCTTTTCAGGCAGAGCAGGCCTTAGGGTAAAAGAAAAAAAAAGGGTATAGGGATGGCACAGAGAAAAATAATTGAGCACTTCAGAGGAACTCAGTTTTCTATTATTTGTATCATCCCTCCCACTTCCCTACATCCAGCCCCCCAGCACCTCTCATCCCTCCAGCCTTAACTCACAACTCTAGTCTTGTTAAGTCCACCTTTACAGGATTTTAAAATATATATATATATTTTTTTATTTGTTTTTAATTTGACCAAAGAGGGACAGAGAGAGAGAAAGCAAGCTGCCAAGTCCATGACTCAAACTACAGTCAGCCACATGGGAGTCCAGCACCCTTCATGCTACCTGCCAGCCCCCCTGCCTTTATAGGCTTTTAAAGGAACATCTTAACAGACTTTTAAAGTGGATTTCAAAAAAAAAAAAAAAAGAGTGTTGAATGAGCCTTTTCAGCTTTAAGCCTTTATCTGGTCACACTTCACTTTTTTTTTTTTTGGAGAGGTTTTTGCTATAGGGCATGTGTGCTCACCATAAAGACAGAGAGACAGAAAGAGAGAAATCACCCCCTAAGGGGGATGGCCACGCTGTGATCCTTTCTCCTCCATTCTCATCTCGGGATCTTGGGCATGCACACACAAGCACCGGGTGTGAATTTAAGTCACCGGGTCTAGGACTTGAACCGCGGGTGACTACATGGGAGTCCAACAACATAGCCATTACACCAACTGCTGGTCCCACACTTTCACTGCTGAAACCCAAAATGTGTGAACCCTGCAAGGGTCTAATATACTATAATAGAACAAGAAATCTGAGCCAAACAATCTTTCAAACATTGGCCTCCTCTCACGTTTGTACCCAGAAATTACAAGATGACTCAGGTGAATCAGGTTCCCAAGGACATTCTCAGTTGTCTTGATTAGTGAGTTAATATTCCAGGCTTGAATGTATAAAATCAAAGTGAATCTTTTAGAATTCATCTGAAAAAAGTCATTGTGGAAATTAATTGAGATAAATCACCCCTTTCATAAAAATATTTCTAAAGTACGTACCATGTAAAACTACACCTAAGTATTTATGTTGTCATGTAAGAAAGAACTTCGGGCTGGCAGGTTGTGCAGTGGTTAAGGGTGCTGGACTCCCACATGGCTGACCATGGTTCAAGTCCTGGACCTGGCAGCTTGCTTTCTCACTTTCCCTCCCTCCCTCTCTCATGCTCTCATTCTCTTCCTCTCTGGTCAAATAAATAAATAAATAAATAAAGTTAAAATAAAAATTTGTTTTTAAAAAAGAAAGTACTTCAACCTGGGGTGAAAATCATTCAGTAGTGTATCATCTGCCTTCATTAAAGACTTTTTCTAAATTACTCCAATATAAAACTATGCCTAAGCATTCTTACAATTTGTATTAGAGTTTTTCCATTTTCTATTGTTTGTTTTTGTGACAGAGTGTATATACTCACCAGAGAAAGAGATAGAAGGAAAGTGAGAAATCACCCCCTGAAGGGATGGCCATGCCATAATCCCTTTTCCTACATTCTCCCCTGGGGATTTAGGGCACACGCACACATGCACACATGCACACGTGTGTCTGGCATGATTTTAAGCAGCCAGGTCCAGGACTCAAACCATGGTCAACCATGTGGGAATATAGCACCTTAACCACTATGCCACCCGCTGGCCCCTTTCCATTTTTTAATGAGCCTCTTGTCACCTTATCTCATAAGAGATAATGGGGATTGTAAAACAAATTTAGGATGTTCAATGTCCAGTGAGTTCTAACTCAAAAGTTTCACATTTACCATTTTTATAAGAAAATCAGACATTTTCAAGTTATATGTGAACTTCATTCTTAAGTATTAAAAGTAATTACAAAGAAAATATAATTGTTAAAAACTTTCTTAGTTTATATCTTTTCTTTTTTCTTTACTGTTTTTTTAGAGAGATTTTTTGCTATAGGGCATAAGTGTTCACCAGAGAGACAGAGAGAGACAGAAATCGAGAATTCACCCCCCAGGAGGGATGGCCATGCCACAATAACTTCTCCTCCATTCTCTTCTTGGGATCTCATGCATGCAGGCACACGTGACCAGCGTGAGTTTAAGCAGCCATGTGGGCACTCAAACCACAGTTGACTATGTGGCTGTCCAGCAATGTAACCATCATGCCATCTGCTGGTCCCTATACCTTTGATTTTCTTACAGCAAATAGTTTTCCCTGGCATGAAGAGTCCAATTCATTGAACTAGAAATCGACAGCTCACTTCTATCTAGGGCTCAGCTCAATGAATGGGATTAGTCTTTGCCAACACTCCTCTCTCTGACATGGGAAGGAGTAGTCATCAACAGTCTATGATCATCCTCTCTGAAACTTGGCTCTTCAAGGCGGGCAAGAAGTGGTCCCTGACTTGCTACTCAGTCCTACTAAACTAGCTTAATAACTTTGTCTCTGCTGTATGGGGCACATTTTTCAGCTTGACCATATGCCCTGCTTTATCAGTCAGGAGTTATGCCTCCTCTTTGTGTCTCTTCTCACGGTGCTGGAACACAAGTGATGCTAAGAAATGTAGCTGACCGCTGGTAGAAATCCCATCACTTCTTGTGTATAGACTTGTGCTTGTTTTATCAAAGAACTCAAGGCTTCCAGCCTTCAGTTATGGTGTCTTTCAGTTGATACGTACCCGGACATTGGCCTCTCCCTTTAAACAGAGCCACTGCCCCATAGGCCTGGAAGAGTAGCTCCCAGGGGCCACTCTGAGGCCCATTCTTGGGTTGGCAGTGAGAGGAAACACTTTTGCTTGACAATTCAAACTTAAACTTAGTATCTGCCCCAGCTCTAAGGCCACTCATGGAGAGATCTAGGGTTCTTACGGACAAGTTAGGTTTAAAAAGCCCATATCATCTTGTTCCTTCTGTCGTAAAGCCTGAAATGTTTGCTTTGCCTTCCCGCCTGAGGTGGTATTATCTTCTTCACAAATGGCTAATTTGAGACTTTCTCCCTCAAGTGGAATTCCCCATGAATTAGCATCAGCTGAAGGCAAATGTGTTTAGAAAGATAACTCCACTTCTCTCCTCCCCAGCATGCCCCACTTTGACAAAATTCAGTAATCAGAAATCCACTGGCCAAAGGATAAGGCTGAAGTACTGGTATTCATCTCTTGCTTTAGAAAAGAAGTAAGTGAGGATGTTTTCCAGAGCAATTACGATCCGACTTCCACACTACCTTTAACGGTGCTGTGGTGTCATTTTCCTAACTGAAACCATTTTTTTCCTACTCACTAGCATTTCTACATCACTAGTTCAGACATGATGCCACCAATAGTAATGTGAGTGCCCAGTCAGCCTCAGAGAGGTGAGCGCGTGGAATAAAGAGAACACATTCCTAGTGAGTTCTAATGCCAGCCAGGAGGAGTGGCCACGTTCTACATGACGTCAGCAGCCACTCTCACTTCCAAGAGCTGGGCTTCACTATAAACCGTGCAAATGATGGACAGTCTGAACCCCTGGCGGCTCTCTAGACCTCCCGTTGTATGACAATTAAGCAATTCCTATGCTCCACAGACTTGCTTATCGATGGTCCTCACAGACCCAGCTAGCTCACCCAGTTTCTGAGCAACTTTTTGCACATGCTTTCTTCCTGACTTGCCATCCTCCACACCAAGTCATACCTCTCTTCTTCTGACACTCGGAATATGCTGCCCTTCCTGTATGGAAATAATGCCGGCGAGACACTAGCTTAATTGTTTCTGAGGTGTTGGACTAGATCTGTCCTGACCTATTTTCCCTCCCTCTGTCCCGTGCTCAACAGCACCTCCTGGAAAGCGAGTGGCCAAGGACTAAGAAGACAAGGCCTACCCAATCACCGGTCAGTGTGGGCTCGCTAGAGCACTGGAGGAAATTAGCCACAGGCGAGCCACGGCTTCAGAGAATCTACTTTTTAGAGCCCCTTAGCCTGAAGAATCTGAATTCCCACATTTTTTGTAGATTGTGTGTACCTAAAACTTCATTCTTGGGCCAGCCAGCAGTATAGTGTTTCAGGTGGCTGGATCCCACATGCTCAACTGTGTAATCTGGGTCCTGGACCTGATGGTTTGAAAGACACACCAGGCACATGTGCATGTGTGCCCAAAATCTCCAAAGGAAGGAGAGATGGAGAAGGGATTGCAGAGTTACCATTCCCCTTGGAAGGTGCTTTCTTGCTTTTTCTCTCTGATAAAAAAGAAAAAAATAAAAACAAAAAAACTTTTTTTTTGGAGAGGTTTTGCTATAGCATGCACTCGACAGAAAGAGAGACAGGGAGACAGAAAGCGAGAAGTCACCCCCCGAGGGGGGTGGCCACGCCACAAACCCTTCTCCTCCATTCTCCTCTTGGGATCTTGGGCACACACGTACACGCTCCCGGTGTGAGTTTAAGGCACTGGGTCTAGGACTTGAACCATGGTCAACTACATGGGAGTCCAGCGACATAGCCATTATGCTAACTGCTGGTCCCTCTGATAAAAAAAACAATTTTTTTAAACTTCACTAAATTGCTATTGACAATTTAAAAATAGATGAAATTTAATTTGGGAGCCTTTGGCCTCCTTTTCCAAGATCTTTCCTTAGCACTTTCACCAGTTCCCTGGTATCTTCTAGGTGCCAAGAAATCACCATTATAAATAGTTTTAATTTATAAGGCACTTACAACATGCCAGGCATTGTTCTAAGAGGTTTACATGTATTCATCTTCATTATAACCTTGTGGGATTGCTTGATACTGTCTTTCATAGAAAAGAAAATAAAAGGAACGTGCATGAAGCAAAGTCACATAGTAAGCAAGAGACAGAGCCAGAGTTTGTCCTCAGAATCTAGAGTCCATGCCCTAACCAAAACGCTAATGGCCTCCATTTCCCCACACCCCAGTGAAAGCATCTATTTTTTTTTTTTTTTGGAGGGGTTTTTGCTATAGGATGTGTGTGCTCGCCAGACAGACAGAGACAGAGAGACAGAGAGCGAGAAATCACCCCCAGGGGGTGGATGGCCATGCCACA